TTGAAAATCTCAAGCCCGTCTCGCGCGATCTGTAATTCGCGGTGCGACCGCGGGTAGAAAAATTATAGAGGAAACTCCCCTATTATGCCATAGGCTCCTAATATGAGACAGCGGAGTTTCCGCTAAATTAATAGGCGTCACCTTCCACCGTGCATTTCTTGCCCTTGAAGTGAAATCCGTTTGGTAGAAAGTTGATTGTTGGATCGTTGCGAAAAAAAAATTTATCATTACGTCACTATCTCATATTAGAATCCTATCTCATAATAGAGGCCCGGTCGTCTAGGTTTAAAATTACATTTATAGAATCTTGCGAGCGTACGCGTGTACAGAGAAGTACGCGCTGGGAATATATTAGAGATTTTAAGCAATACGCCAACAGAGAGAGAGAGAGAGAGAAGGAGCCCGCAGATAACACGGGTCCGTGTAATTGAACGGCTTATAATTTCTAGTTGTACTTGAGGCAGAGAATAATATTTCCATTTGGCGAAAGAAATGGAATTATCTATTACAATAATATATCCGCACCCCGGAGCGCCTACCGCGTACAACTCGTTATTTCACCTCAGTTTTATTTCCCATAAATGAAAGATGACTCTCGCGAAGAGAGGAATGGTAGCTGTTTGTTTTATGCGCAGCCTCCTGGCACTCTCTCCGCGTTTAATACGACATTGGTGTACACTGGACGACAAGATTTCGCTAACTTTAATTAATTTGCCTCGCTGTACACGTTTATTACATCGGTACTCCGCGCCTTCCCATTCTTTCCGCGCGTTATCGCCCCGTTTACGCCGTTTATTATTGCAATGTCACTTTGCGCATCGTATCACACTCGCGGAATAAATTGGCAGCGACGTAAAGAGAAAATAAATCGCTGTATTACCACATGCTCCACGTGAAAAGAGAGAAGGGGGACCGAGACGCGGAAGAGACCGCGGGGCAAGAAGTAACGGGCGTTAATTGTAAATCGCGAAGAATCTACCGAAAATATTAGCGGCGCTAGACGAGCGGAGAAGCGCAGCTGCAATCTCTTTCTCTATTCAGTGTATCTCTCTCTCTCCCTCTCTCCTGCTCTCCGTCACGCAACAAGTCCTCATTCTCGCGCATATAGTTACGGAGAACAACCTAAAACTCTGTGGAATGCGTGGTGCGTGAACGAGCGCACGAGCAAACCGGCTGCTCTGCCTGTCTCTCTCTCTATCTCTCTCTTTCGCATCCGTCGTCGGCAGAGATTTTCTTCGCGTTCTCTCGCTCCCGCCAGGGAAAAACGTCGGTCGTCCGAGGATGCTTTTCGCGTGGCGCGACCATGGCGTGACGCGGGGATCGGTGGCGCGAGTCGGTAAAGGTAAGGCGAGACTCACGCCCATTCGCTCGGCCAATCGCCGGCCGCTACGTCATCTCGTACGATGTAACGGAGCGAGTCGACCCACGTGGTTGCCGAGCGCCGCCGTAGCTATTTCGGTGGCGAGAGAGACCGTCCTGTCTCGAAAGGACCGATCTATAGAGAGCCAGCCGCTCGCGCGACGACTTTCGGCTTCGTCGCGCCACGCTATTTCGCCTCATTATTATTAATCCAGCCCAATCTCGTAGGGGGGCAACCTTCGTTGGAAAAAGCCGAAGGACGCGGGACTCTCGCGTCGTCGGCGAAAGTGTCGGGTTGCGCTTACTCGCGCGGTTACGCGCTCGAAATGAAATAATTGACACGGATGCGAGACGGACGTACAACAAAGTTTGATAAACAAGTCAATTATCTAACGCTCGCATATGGGCGTGTTGGCGGCGCTCGACTCGGGCGGTGACGTAATCCAGTGTTACATCGCGGAGGAATTCGCGGGCTCTCTGAGAAATTTGCTCGGAAGAAACGTCACGCGGCGTCGCGCGTCAATGCCGTTATCCGCGAATGCGACGTGGCCTGCTCGCGATCGAGGGGGTCAATTCTGTATCTTACGATATCTTACGATGCAGCGAAGACGCCAACAGTCAGCGGCCTTTGTCTCTTTCCGAGGGGAATTAGAGGGAGACAGAGCTACTGTAGCGTAAGATACCACAAGGTCAATTCTGTATCTTACAATATAGTGAAAATGCTAAAAATCAGCGGTTTCGTTTCTTTCTAAGGGAAATTAAAGAGAGAGAGGGTCAAAGCTACTCTTAGCATTTTCACTATAGCGTAAGATACAGAATTGACTCCCACGTCCGTCATCGATGGCGCAACGCGTGTTCGCGAAAATCTATGCATAATTGGCGCGCGGCGATTAGACAACAGGAAGCGCGTCGTGCTCGCGTGGACCGTTTCTGTTTACTCGGTTCCGCGGTGCACGCGCGACATGTACGAAACGTATATAACCTGAATGGATTCAAGGCCGGCGCGCGATTCTCGTCATCGCCGCTCTCCTTTCCGAACGCGTCACAGGCACGTTGTTGAATACAATTTGTAGAAATTCTCGCTGCGAGACTAATCGCGTTTCGTATTTTAAACTCGCGCGCACGTCCCTGTCTCTAAGGACTTTAAATTCGGATCCCCGGTTAATTCCAGATGTGCGCTTTAACAGATCTACACCCGGCCTCCCGGTGGTCCCCGCCCCGGGCACGTGTCAGTCGTTTATTTCAAGAATGCCAGCCTCCTCAATCGATACAGTAAATTTGAATCTCGTGGCCGCTCTCTCCGCTCCGCTCTGCTCTTTATTTTAATCCGTCGGATCCCGACGCGTGTCGGGCGAAAATTAAATCTCGCTCAAACGAGACGTACATTTTACATTTGTATCACAATGTACTCGGCCATTTTGGAAACTGAAAATCCCACATAATTTTTATAACGTATGTACGTTGTGTGCGCGCGCGCGCGCCCCGCTTTCTCGCAGTTGAAATAACGTCCGCAAGAAACGCAGGGGAAAATTTAATACTTTTTCGTTCTAATTAATATTTTGTCAGGCTTTGGGATCAACTCGATGAAAAACCATTTTCACCGCGATTCTTTTCAATCGCTAAATTTTCGCCGCACACTCGCGCCGATGAATTAATGTACGTTGGTAAAAATCGATTGGCGCCCCCTTCCTCCCCCCCCCTCCACCCCGCCGCCGCCAAAATAAACGACTCGGGCGAGCGAAATAGCGGACAGGAACTGGAGCACTAATTGTCGAAAAGCTCCCCCTCGCCCTAAAACGGATATCCAGCCCCTTCGATGATCTCGGAACGTCGCGTCGCCGGCGTAGGATAACGGCGGAGGAGGAAGCGCCCGAACTTGTCCGCGACCTAATTAGATAAAACTTGGTCGATACTTGGGCGAATTTTTGCCTGCACGCTAGTATCAATCTTCGCGCTAATTAAACGGCCCGAGTCTCACAGCGGGGCCAATTACCACGGTAATTCGCGCGGCGCCTCAAACGGGCCCCGAGTCGAGCCACGGCGAAACATTTTCCCATCGCGGGGGAAAATTTCCCGCCTTTTTACGATCGCCCTCGCCGTCGGCCGTTAACTTTAACCGTAGTTTAACCGATCGTTTGTCCCTCGCTCCGGAACTAGAATTAGAAGGGGTTGAGGGTAGTAGGTCGCTCGAACTGAGGCAAAGTTAATTTCCGCGCGAGATTAATTTCAAGTATAATTTGCAGCCTCGTTAAAAATATCTTGGAAAGTTTGGGCCGGGGGGTTGCGTCCGAGGGGGATATCGGCGTCGATCTCGCTCTCGGGGATGACTCGCGGCGACGATCGAAGCGCGCCCTCCCCCCCGAATTATCCAATTCTAATTTCACCGAGACTTGGCACGGCGACCAATGTTTTCGCGCATTGACGTTGACGTCGACGTCAACATGTTTGGACGTCGAGGAACGCCCGCGCGAAATTTTTAGCGTTCGTCTCGTTCCGACGTTCCTAAATTTCAAGCAAGCGGCGACGACGCGTCGCCGGGACGTGTGACGCGCGCGCGCTTGTCCTGCTTTAATCTGGTACGCCGTCGATCCTCCTCCGCCGTTATGCACTTGAAGCGGCGTCCTTGACCTACGAAAGAGACCGGGCTCTCGCGCACTTATTACGTCGCTCGCAAAATCGACGGGAGCCCCGAGGAATCGGAAGAGCGACGACGCCTCCGGCGCGCGTCCCACGCGGAATCGAAGGCAGGACGTATTTAGCGTCGGGCGCGATGCCTGCTATTTCCGTCGGAAATACTACTCGGGCACGCGCTGGTCATCTTTCTTTCCCTCCCCCTCGCGAATCACTTTGACAACTGCGATTAACGCAACGACCGCGACGTCCAGTCGCGTTTGCGGGGATGCGTGTCATCCCTATAGGGTGAAGTCACACGGCACGGGGAATCACCGTGCGATAGCCAATCAGCGCGGGATAGAAAAATGCGGGAGACCGCTGATTGGCCGTTCGAATCGCGCGTCGTCTGTCCCGGCACGCTGATTCCCGCACCGTGCGATTTCACCCTTAAACGCCACTTTCGCGCGTGAACGGATCTCGTGATCGCGAGACACGTGGCCCAGACACCCGATTCGCGATTCGAGGAGCGGAAGAAACGTTCTATTCCGCGCGGGCAAGGGGACCGAGTGGAGAGAAGAAAAACCTCGCCGCTGGAAGATCTCGAGGCGAGGATCGAGGGGGCGCGTTACGTAAAGGAGGAACGGGCGCCCCGCGCGATACTTCGATCCGCGAAATCGCTGGATTCGCGGGCCCGCTCGACCCGCTCCAATTAAAAGAGCCTTGAGGAATCGTGACGTAGGCGAGCTCGGGGCTTGATTGCATTTTCTGCAATCGTGTAGCGGGAAACGAGCCGGATCCTCGGGGACGGCGAGAAGATCAAAGGGGAAAAACGAATGCGCGAAACGCAACTGAAACGCGCGGCGCGGCCAGGCTCCGTGACGCTGGGTATACAACACGATAGAGCGAAAACGCCGGTCGCCGGTCGTCGCACGGCGATCGCGCGCCACCGAGAGCTCTCGGGCGGGCGGGCGGGCGGGGAGGAGAGGGGGGGGGGCCGGGAGGCTGTGCGAGACTGGACGGATACTCACGGGAGTACAAGGCGGTCATGAACAGCGCGAGCCAGGACAGCTGATTCTCCATAGGTGTTTTCATGTTCCGGGCCGCTCTCGTCGTCCAATTCCTGCCGTGTGTCGCACCGTACGGGAAGTTTGTCGTCGCACGAGAGGAAGGTCCGTCCTTCGGAACTCGGGGTCGGGAACACGCGCGCGCGCGCGCTAGCGAGCGAGCGAGCGAGCGAGCGGGCGGGCGAGAGACGGAAGGTAGAAAGTAACCGGAGCGAAGCAGGGCCAAAGTAGTTTGCGCCTGTGTGCGTGGGCGTGCGAGAGCGTGCGCGCACCCGCGAGACTCCTGCGTGCTCTTAGTTTTACTCTCTCGGCTCTCTTTCACCCGCGATCCGCGTACCGCTCGACATGTGTACCACGCGACCGACCGTGCACCACTGACTCGCGGCGACGGCGACGAGTGCGACGGCGGCGGGCGGCGGGCGGCGGGCCGCGGGCCGCGGCGGCGGAGAGAACGCGCGCCGAGTTTCGAAGGCGCCAGCGCGCATGCGTGGATCGCTCACGCCACCGATCCCGCGAATCCGTCGCCGTACCCCTCTCCCTCCGTCGCGGCTCCCTACTCGCTCGCGCGGCCTCCGTTCCCGCTCTGCCCGTCTCGATCGCGCTCCCTCTTTTCTCTCGGATCGCGCCGCTCCGCGCGATCGGGCCGTCTTCTCGCGTCATCGTCATGCACCTCCGTCGCGCCCGCCGGCGCCGACGTCGTTACGACGCCTCGTTCAACTGGCGTGAGATTTTATTAATCGAACTCTTACGAGCGCGCGAGCCCAAGCTCGGCCGCGACGCCGGAGAGATGTGTGTGCACGAGAGAGAGAGAGAGAGAGTGTATGTGGGAGATGTTTCGCGCGCTTTCCGCAACACTACGTTCAACGAGTCCCGATTTTTCGTTTTCTGGTTAATTGTTAACCGGAGGATAATCGACTCTCTGTCTCTTCTTATAGCGAATTCGGTAGTTTGCACTAGTGCGCACTGAGTGCGCACTAAGCCTCGTTTACAATCGATTCTTATATTTAAAGATCATTTTAAATACCTCTTGCGGTATTTCTTATCCGGAAGAATGGTCCGCACGACGTTTACACCGATCATTTTTCGACTGAATACTCTTTGAACATACATTTAAGACAAAGTTAAATATAAGAACTGACTGTAAATAAGCCTTAGGCCGGTATTTATAGTCGATTCTTATTTCAAAATCATCTCAAGTGTTGTTAAGGAGCTAATACGGCTCTGTGATTCGTTAAAAACATATTAAGAGTATACTTAAGATGATCTTAAATATAAGAACGGACTATGAATACCGGCCTTTTGTGTGCACTCAGCGCGCGCTAGTGCAAGCAACCGAATTCGCTATAAGGCTCGTTTATAGTCAGTTCTTATATTTAACTTCGTCTTAAATACATGTTTAGAGTATTTAATCAAAAAATGATCCGTGTAAACGTTGTACAGACCATTTTTTTTATAAGAAATATTGCAAGAGGTATTTAAGATAATCTTTAAATGTAAGAATCGACTGGAAACAAGGCTTAGTGTGCGCTCAGTGCGCACTAGTGCAACCAACCGAATTCGCTATTAGATAATAACATGGAAAAGGATGGAGAGTCGACGAGGATCCAAAGTCATCTTTTTTACCGACACATTCGAATACAGTTTTTACGCTTGTAAATCCTTTTATTGGCTTTTATCAGGGTTGGGTAAGTTATCTTTTTTTTTTAACTAAGTCAAGTTAAAGTTAACAGCCTTGAAAATTTAAGTTAGGATACAAGTTAATCCACGATACAATTAGTGGTATTAAAAGTTAAGTTAATAGCAAAAGAAAATTACAAACTTGAAAGTTAAATTTGTTTTCTTTTTACATAAACTAGACAACACAAGCGCCATTTGCTCTATCTAAAAATTCGTATGGTTTGACAGCTGCAAATAACACGACTGAAGCATGTCGTATCGCACAAGCGAGACGGCCAATCAGCATCTCGGAAAAGACAGCCAACAATACTTCGAGACTTCCGACTATCGACTTAACACGCCCCTTTTTTATATAGGAGAAACCTCAGAGACTTGCTATCACGTAAACCGCACTTGAATTTCGCGACTAGCGTTTGGACAGTCGCACACACTACACGGAATATGACCCATTGCATATGCAAACAATTTCACGTGAGTACGAGAATCAAAACCCCATGTAATGGCTGTGTTCCAAAATTCATTACCAGCGCTGAAGATCTATGGTACACGTGCGCAATAAATTTTAGAGCTGGCAGTGAATTTGGAAACACAGAGACTGCCAATGTAGGCAGACGCACGGCATCTCGCGACGCCTTTGTTTATGACATGGCTAACTTTAAGGCTCGGTCTTCCATT